CACTCTGGTGAGATGTTATGGTGGTGACGCATCAGTGAAGAAGGTGAAGCTTCAGTCCTTGAGAAAGCAATATGAGAATCTCAACATGAAGAATAATGAGAAAGTTTCTGAATACATCTCCAAAGTGATTCTGATCACTAATGAGATGAAGGCGTGTGGAGAAACTCTTTCTGAAGAAACAATCATGGAGAAGGTATTGAGATCCCTTACCTCTCAATTTGATTACATTGTGGTAGCAATAGAACATTCCAAAGATCTGAGTACCATGAGAATTGAAGAGCTGCAGAGCAGTCTAGAAGCGCAAGAGTTGCGTTTGACTGAGAGAACTTCTGAAAGGGAAGTAGAGCAGCAGACTCTGAAAGCAACTTCTGATAGGAGGTATCAAAAGCAGTCAGAAGCCAAGAGAAGATCTGATGGTGGTCAGAAGTCAGAAACCTCAACCTCTGATAGACAAAAGAATGCTCAGAAGGGAAAAGAGAAGTATGACAAGAAGAAGATCCAATGTTACTGTTGTAAGAAGTTTGGTCACTTTGCTAGAGATTGTTGGTCAAACAAGGAGAAGAAATCAGAAGAAGCAAATATAGCCAGAAGTTCTGATGACGAATCTGTGCTATTGATGGCCTCTGAATCTGATGATCTGACAGACTGGTGGTATATGGACACTGGCTGTTCAAATCATCTTACTGGAAACAAGAAATGGCTGGTTGACTTTGACTCTGAAAAGAGGACAAAGATCAGATGTGCTGATGACAAATATCTTAATGCAGAAGGTATGGGAAATGTCAGAGTGACTCTGAACAATGGGAAAACAGCATTGATTCAGAACGTGTGGTATGTACCTGGCATCAGAAGCAATCTGATGAGTGTGGGACAATTAATTGAGAAAGGTTTCTCAGTTACCATGAAGGACAATCTTCTGAAGCTGTATGACTGTAATCAGAAGTTGATTATGGAGTCAGAACAGGGAAGGAATAGAACATTCAAGGTGAATTTCAGAACTGCAGACTCAGAATGTCTTAGTGCAACATGTGCTGAGAAGGAGAGTGAGCTGTGGCACAAAAGATTTGGTCATTTGAATTTCAGAAGCTTACAACATCTGAATTCAAAGAAATTGGTACATGGAATTCCTGCAATTAAGAAGCCTGAAAAGTCATGCAAAGTTTGCATGGAAGGAAAACAACCAAGATTGCCATTTGCGTCAGAAGTTGCTCCAAGAGCAAAACATGCCTTGGGAGTTGTACATTCTGATGTGTGTGGTCCATTTCCAGTAGCATCAATTGGAGGGAATAAATACTTTGTGTTATTTGTTGATGAATTCACAAGAATAACATGGGTATCCCTTATTAAATTTAAACATGAGGTGTTTGATGAATTCAAGAAGTTCAGAATGAAGGCTGAGAATCAGAGTGGTCAGAAGTTGAAGATTCTTAGAACTGATGGTGGAGGTGAGTATAACTCCAAAGAGTTCCAGAAGTTCTGTGAGGAGAATGGAATTAAGCATGAGGTTACTGCTCCTTATACCCCTCAACACAATGGTCTTGTTGAAAGAAGAAACCGTACTTTGCTTGATATGGTGAGAAGCATGCTAAAGGAGAAGAAGCTTCCTCATAAGCTCTGGGGAGAAGCTGTTGCCACTGCAACGTATGTACTCAACAGATGTCCTACGAAGAAGTTGAAGGAAATAGTTCCAATGCAGAAGTGGACTGGAGACAAGCAAAGTGTTAGTCATCTGAAGGTGTTTGGTTCTGTTTGCTATAAACATGTTCCAGAAGCCAGAAGACAGAAGCTGGATGATAGAAGCAAAGTGATGATTCTGATAGGGTACCACAGTACAGGTGCATACAAGCTCTATTGTCCAGAAACCAATAAAATTGAGTTCAGCAGAGATGTGATTGTGAAGGAATCAGAAGTTTGGAATTGGGATAAATCTCAATCTGATTCTGATGTTAGAACCTCTGAAGAAAGGCCAGAGTTAAGAATTTCTGAAGTTGGAGTAAACCCTGACGTTGACTCTGACTCTGATACTGATTCAAACTCTGAAGATGACTCAGAAGATGAAGGTGACTCTGATGACCCAGACTCTGATAATTCAGACTCTGATGGCAATCCAGATCTTGGTGGCAATTCAAACTCTGGAGATATGCCAGACTCTGAAGATGGTCAAAGCTCTGGAAGTCAACCATCTGAAGCTGGAAACTCTGAAGCTCAAGACTCTGAACAAGTTCAGAGACCACAAAGAATCAGAAGCGTTCCTAAAAGATTTGCAGAATTTGACATGCTGCAAAACACTAAGGTAGACTCTGAAGGAGAAGTTATTCAGTGTGCCATGATGGTAGACTCTGAACCCATAAGTACAGAAGAGGCTCTTAAGCAGAATCTTTGGCTAAAGGCCATGAAAGAAGAACTTGATGCTATAGAGAGAAACAAGACTTGGAAGCTGACAGAACTTCCAAAAGACAAGAAAACCATCAGCGTCAGATGGGTTTTCAAGCAGAAGTTAAAGCCAGATGGTTCAATTGGCAAACATAAAGCAAGGTTGGTAGCCAGAGGATTTCTACAGAAACCTGGGCTGGATTATTCTGAAGTGTTTGCACCTGTAGCAAGACATGAAACAATCAGAATGATGATTGCAATAGCTGCTAACAGGAATTGGCCTCTGATGCATTTAGATGTAAAATCTGCATTTCTGAATGGTCCATTAGAAGAAGAAGTTTACGTGTCACAACCTCCTGGATTTGTGAAAAAGAATCAGGAAGGGATGGTGTACAGATTATACAAAGCTCTATATGGACTGAAACAAGCGCCCAGAGCTTGGAATCAGAAGATTGATTCATTTTTCAAGAAGCAAGGCTTTCAGAAATGTGAGATGGAGTACGGTGTCTATGTTCAGCATACTTCTGAAGGCAATATGACTCTGGTATGTTTATATGTTGATGATATACTATTGACTGGAAGTTCTGAACAGGAGATAGCCAAGTTCAAGAAAGTTCTGATGAATGAATTTGAAATGACTGATCTAGGCAAAATGACATACTTTCTAGGGATGAAGTTCAGATATTCTGAGAAAGGTATCATTTTGCATCAGCTCAAGTATGAATTAGAACTTCTGAAGAGATTTGATCTGAAGAATTGTAAGATGGCTGTCACACCTTCTGATACAAATCAGAAACTGGATTCAGACTCTGAAGGAAAGGATGTGGATGCTACAACCTTCAAACAGTTGGTTGGTTCTCTGAGGTATCTGTGCAATACCAGACCTGATATTTGCTACTCAGTTGGGATGGTTAGTAGGTTCATGAGTAAACCTAAGTGGTCCCATTACCAAACTGCTGTCAGGATTCTGAGGTATATCAAAGGAACTCTGAAGTATGGAGTGTTATTTCCCTCTGGAGGAAATAATGAGTCAGAACTTCTGAGTTATTCAGACTCTGATTGGTGTGGAGACAGAGTTGACAGAAGAAGTACATCTGGGTACTTGTTCAAATTTCTGGGAGGTTCCATTTCTTGGTGTTCCAAGAAGCAACCTGTTGTGGCGTTGTCAACCTGTGAAGCTGAATACATTGCAGGTGCTGTTACTGCATGCCAAGCTGTGTGGATTCTGAATCTGTTGCAGGATCTGAAGATTAAAGTAGACAAACCTCTGAAGTTGATGATTGACAATAAGTCTGCAATCAATCTTGCCAGAAACCCAGTGTTGCATGGGAGAAGCAAGCATATTGAGACCAAGTATCATTTTCTGAGACATCAAGTTCAGAGTGGAGTGTTAGAAGTTGTACACTGCAGCACTCAGAAGCAGTTGGCAGATGTTCTAACGAAAACTATCAAGACTGATCAATTTCTCAGATTAAGGGATGAAATTGGTGTTACAAGTTTTGATGGAATATGAATTAAGGGATGGTATTAGTAATAATTCATATTTTATTATATTACTTTCTTAAGCCCATAAGTTTGTTAGAGGGTATTTTAGTATTTTATCTTATTCTAGTAACCCTAGTTTTAGCTTATAAATAGGGTGACAATCATTGTAACTCTTAATCCTGTTTCTTTTGCCGTCATTCTCTTTAATAGAATATTTTCCTATTTCATCATTTATTCTATCTTTGCACCAACAGATTCTGCACCAACAAATGACATTCAATTATAGTTTTAGAACAAAATACTATCATTTCAAAATTAGACGTTACTATAAAAATCAAAGAAAAATTATTAATACTTTATTAATTATCTTACTATATTTTAAAACAAAAAATTTATACTTATTAATTGAGGTCAACACAATATATATATATATATATATATATATATATATATATATATATATATATATATATATATATATATATATATATATATATATATATATATATATATATATATATATATATATATATATATTGTAGACGCATATTCAACTTATCTTTTAATATTTTTATAAATTAAATAATAAAAAACGCATTATAAAATGAGATTAATTTTAATACATTGTTAATATAAAAAAAATTATAGTGTCAATTTATCACTATCATTCATTTGAATTATTTTATAGATGATTAAAATAAAAATCAAATTTCTTCAACATTCAATATTTATGATTAATTTATTGTGTAAAATCATTTTATGCTGTCAATATATTTTAATTAAATTCTCATAAAATTAATAAAATAACTTACTAATCATTCAAATATTAAAAATAATTCGCAAATTTTCTTAGTAATATATTAAAAAATTTTAGACTATAGTAACAACAATTTACACGTGAGAGAAAATAAATTGGCCGTATATTAAATAAAGAAATGAAAAAAAAAAAAAGGTGAAGTAAGCAAGTGAAAGAAAGAAAAGGACTAAAGTACAATAACTGATCCGAAAGAAACGAAAAAAGCGGAAGATCATGCAAACTTACACTTAAAAGCTAGTTTTTGCTTCTTTCTTTTTTTCTCCTTTTTTCAAAATTCATTCTCTCACTTCACTCTTTCATTTCATTCATTCATGCTTTCTCCTTCATGGATTCCTCGCTCTCTAACCTACTTCTCTTCAATAACACCATTCAACCAGGTATAATCATAATCATCTTCAATTTTCGTTATTCATTGTGATTTTTTTTTTTTTTGCGTAATGTAATGTGTGATGAATAATTGAATCGTAGAGTTGATGCGAAGCGTGCATGTGTACCGTGCTGAATGTGATGGAGAAGAAACGGAAGTTGAAAGAGAGTTTGTGTTTTCTGAGACTGCTTCCTATGTTGAAATGCAAGCTACTCCGATTTTCACATTGTTGAAATCTTTTGTGTGTCGAGAAATTTCTCAAGGGGATAAGAATGGAGTTTGGCTTTGTGTTTTTGCTTTTCATGCTTCTAATTCGCCTCAATTTTCTCACATTCCAACTCTCTTGTTGGTTACAAGGTATGTATAGTCTAGTTACCCCTTTTATTCAATTCGAATTAGGAAATTTGATTATATGATTATGTATTTACTATTTAGGGTTTGTTTGAATAATGAATTGCCGCATTTGAATTTATCTAATGATATAAGCACTTGCGAGATTGTTTATAAGAAATGCATATTTTCATATAATTTCCAGAACTGCTTATATGATTGCATTTATACTATAAACACTTATATATAAGTGCTTAATTAAACTGTTGGCCCTACCGAGTTTTCCTCACTTTAATTAATTATATTATAAAATAGCAACATACTGTAGAGCAGAAAAATACTGCACTGTATGCAAATTGGACTCTGTGAATGATGTATACATTTAATTTTAGGTTATGATTTATTATAACTGATTAAGATTTTCTGTTATTCTTTGAGAGAGCATAAAAGAGTTGACATCTCTTGTGAGATAATTAAAGTCCTTACAGAAGTAACAGCGAATCTCTCTCTACAATAAACAGTTTCTTTTCATGAACATAAATAGTTCAAATTCAGTTATAATAGTCCTGTTTGTTGGAGTAGATAACTGTTTGTGTTTCAAGATTGATTTCTTTATTTATGTAAGCCATTAGTAACTGATTTTTGAATAGGGTTCACTACAGTTACGAAATGGTGCAGTCATTGCAGTCTGTGGATGTTTTTTGCTGGATGAAGATCAGTTAACTTGTATTTTAACACTGTCAAATTGAATTTAAAATATAACTTGAAGTTTGAGTTTCCCGATTTTCATCCTACAGTTACGAATGCTGCTGCTGCAAATGCTGACAGCAGAGAATCCATTCCTCTAATTGTTCCACAGCGTACTTTTAGTGAAATTATTTTTAGGGGAAGTTAAAAAAGGAGGACATGGATTGACAATGAAAGATATTAAACTTAGAAAATATACATCTCTTTGTAACTATTTTTAGTCCATATTTTAATCATAACAAACAGATCAAAATTAAGGCTCCGACTTATGTTTTTTCGACTTATTGTTTGTTCTCAGAAATTGGCATAGCTTAGTAGTGATAGCACCATCTATTGAAGCAACTGATGCTCCCTTTAACAATAAAGTAATTGCCATATATCTAACTCCCTCTGTCTTATTCTTTAATTTTCAGAAATCCAAAGCTTCTTGCTATTCCAAACTTGCTTAATGATCTCCAAATGATATACAAGTTGAACCCGAAGGAGGAACACAGTGAAATACCAGACAACTCTACAATGGACAAACCGAAAGGAAATAACAATGAATGCCAGCCAGCAAAAAAAGTCTCGCTGGTGTTTGAACAAGATCTCAATTATCTTCCTTATGAAAAAGACGAGCCTGAGTTACTGGGTGAAGGGACAGATTTTGAAAGTTCTTCAGGTTTAGAATCAAATGCTCCCAGTTATCACGTTTGCAATTTTGAATGTTTAATTCCAACAACTCAACCTTAGCTTTTATACACTTTGATTAATAAAGGAATTATGGATATAAAAAAGTTGTAGTGTGGTAAATAAGTTGCCAAATGATCTGTTTCCCCATTCTGTACATAAATTCTTCCTAATGTTCAGTTAACCATATCGTGTTTATTTAATGATTTTATATCTAATTGAAAAAATTAATGTTTTCAGGTTTTGTAGGAAAGAAAAAGAGGGCACCGAGTTACCATGTAGCAAAAATTACTTTATCAGATTTAGTCAAGTACTTTGATATGCCAATTGCAGAAGCATCAAAAAAACTAAATGTTGGCCTGACTGTTCTCAAAAGAAAGTGCAGAGAATTTGGCATTCCTCGCTGGCCTCATAGGAAGATCAAATCACTTGACAGCCTCATTCAAAGTCTTCAGGTTCTTCTTACTTCACATTATTTATTTGTTTATTAAGATGACTTTACCAAATGTCTTTCAAGCTATGTATAAATACCAATTTCAAGAAAACTTTTATCCAAATAGCTATCTCGTACTAATATTTATTTATTTGAACATGATTGTCATTTTAACGTGATTGCGTCCTACCTTATAGTATGCGAGGCTTCCTTAGATAGGTAATCTTAAACAAATATTTTCTGTACTTCTGTTTTGTCTATTTTGTAAGTATATGTTTGGATGAGCGGCCAGTTTGATAAAATATGAGTGTACCGTGATTTTGTTGAAGCTACAAAGAGTAGTTTTTGCCAAAATTACAGACTCACTGCAGTGTCTGGTCAGTCTCAACGCCAATTCAAACATGCACTAAAGCCTATAGTATTTGATCTATAAAATCTTTGCTTTTCACTTAATTAGCTTTTTTGCTTCACCTTTACTCCCAATCTTAAAGTGAACTCCTGCCACATGAAAACACACCTGCAGGAAGAGGCAAAACGTCAGGAAATGGAGAACAAAGCTGCAGCAATGGCAGCAATAAGGAAGCAAAAGATGTTGGAAAGTGAAAAGGAAAACATAGAGAAGAAGCCTTTTATGGATATAGGAAGTGAGACTAAGAGATTCAGACAAGATATTTTCAAGAGAAGACACAGAGCTAGAGTGATTGAAAAACAGAATTCTACAGTAGCAAGCACTTAGCACCTTTCTATAGAGACAAACAAAGAGAAACAAAAGCACATTTTGCAAGTTGTAGATTAACACCATACAACTCTTCTAATAGGTCGTTGACCTCTTATAATTTTGGTTTGACTTCTATGTGGATTGCAATGTCTATAGTCAACATATAGTATCTTTAGAGTATATTTGAGTTTAAGTGATGAGCTATGACATGAACACTTGTCTAAGTGTTTGGAAGAGCTTGTGATATCTAATAAGTTAATTTTAGTTTATTTTCTTAAACTCTCCATAATAGTTTACAGAAACAACTTATAAAGAAATTATACACATTTCTTGTTTATTTCTTATTTGGTTGTAGAAACAGTTTATACACATGCATGTATATAATTAGTTTTTCATTTAGTTATTTATCTGTCTCGGAGACGATTAGATGTTGAATACGATTACAAGTTTATTCAACAGGAAACATTTCTAACTACGAAATTATCTCCTTTTGGGGAAATATCTTTCCTTCATGTTTCCGGTCATATATGCAAAGTGATAATACTGTGTTTTTGTTTGCGAGCTTGTATCCGTTTTGGAATTTTTCATTGAAGTGTCAAACAATGATGGTCACTTTCATTAAAAAATGAAGGTTATGTAATGTGTGTGACAGATTTGACATGTCATTGTCAAATTAAACTGCTCACCAACTATGCGTTCAATTTTTGGTTTAGTAGTGTTCTTTTTCCTTGGCTTTGAATTTTGTTCAGCCCATGCATGAATTATTCAAAGACACTTGATGCCCAACTTAAGTACACAAAATTAAAATGAATGATAAAGTTTTGAAGTACACATGTTTGCCAATAACATATATAATGACATGCGATAAACTTTCTTCACCCCTAAACACTACAAGACTTCAGGTGTATACATTACATTTGAAAATAAAAACACAAATTCTATGTCATATGAAAGAACAAGACTTCACAATAAACTACTCACAAGTTGATACTAATAATAATTTTAAATATATATAAATGAATCATCCGACATCTATCGGTGTTAAATACTCACAGGTATCGGAGACCTGACACATCTTTGTTCAGAATATTTGATATATATCAGTGTCAAACACTGACACATGTCATACATCATATACACATTTATTCAGAAATATTTGTGTTACTAATAAATCCTAACGATATACACATTATTTATTTAGAAATGTCTGTGTTACTAGTAGATCCTAATGATATATGGTAAACTTTGTTTAGATTTGGGGTTCTAATTTTTGTCTAATTTATCCATTTTAAGATGACAAAAAATAACTAATGATATATGGTAAACTTTGTTTAGATTTGGGGTTCTAATTTTTTGTCTAATTTATCCATTTTAAGATGACAAAAAATAAAAAATGTTTCTATTGTTGCTTAGAATTAGGACAAACGGTCGGTTTTAGTCGATTTCGGGTTCAAAACTTAAATATGACGTAAATCATGGTTTCATTTTTACGGTTCAATTTCATCGGATAAAATTTTAGTTTTCGCCAAATTCGATTAAGTCGAGTCAGTTTAGCCGATTTAATATTCTTTAGAATATAAAAATGGTTATTTTTTATAAATTTATTATAAAAAAAAATCGAATTTTTAGAACAGAACAATTTCTTTATTATTAAAAAAAATTATTATTACGAGATAATATTTTTAATATTATTTAACATTAATTTTAATCATTATCATATTTTAAATCATAAATAAAATAATATTCAAAATTTTATATTACATGTCTTGTATCTTTTAGAGTACACAATGCCATCATTAAATCATAAAAATAATAATATTATGCAACGTTATAAATCTCATTTTTATCGTGAGTCATTCTGATAATAATAAAAATAAATAAAATATATATATTAATTAAGTTCGGCCGATTTCGATTTTCATTGGATTTTAAAAATAAGCATTTAAATCCAATCGAAACAATCCTATACTATTCAAATTAAACAACCGAATCATCGCGACATCCGATCCGATCCGACCTATTTGCACAAAAAAGACAATAATTCGGTCCGTTTCAATCAACGACTCAAACTTGTCCACCCTACTAGAACATTTCCATTAAATGAGTTTTTTTTTTCTCACACCAACTTTACTTCAAAGTGTACTTTAGAAGGAACAAACCACAGTTTTTTATACAATACTTAGGCACATGTAATAGCATCACAAAAAACACTTGGCAAAGTAGCCCCCAATAATTAAGATGTTCATATCCGTGGAAGAGAAGAATAACTACTTAGGGACATGTCCTCCGTGCTATAAAGAAAGTGAGACAGTGCTACTCTCTCACTGAACTACACACAAGCTTCGTTTGACATATAGTTACTGCGTCTACCTAAAAAAGGAGCATCACTATGGAAAGAATGACAATCATGTAAGAATTGAATTGACACAGGTTAAGCATGAACAAAACAAGTTAAGGGAAAAAAAGCTTTGAAGCTAAAGTTTTTTTTTTTTTGGAAAGGCAAAGAAAATTATGATAAAATAGGCACAAGAAATGCCAGGGAAAAAGATTATTTTTTTATTTTTAAGCTAAAGTTGTTAGAGATCCTCTTCAAGGACACATCAGTCAAGATGGCACAGATAACGTTGAAATTGTTGAATGGAACACATTATCAAACTACCTAGAAAAGTGGAACCACTATAATGGTGGGGGAAGACTAAATCCGTTTTTTAAAAATTATTTTAAATTTATTTGTTATAGATTTTTTTATTTATATTTAGTAACTTAGATAGTTATAACATAATAAAAAATAAAATAGGATGATTTTTATGAGAAATTATTTAAAATAATTTTTTATTTTAAATATTTTTGAAACTTCATCATACACAGTAGCAAATAAATAAAATATTTAAATTGGTTTCATTTGAGAAGCTATTTAAATCAATTTCTTTTTTGAAACTTAAAAAAAAATCTCTTTTAATCATTTTATTATTTGAAAAAAATATATGCAAACCAAATCTTTTGGTCACTACAAACAATTTATCATCTTGGAACACACCTTAACTATACATTTTTCTTTATTAGTGGAAAATCATAATAGCTCTAAATTGCCATTGAAGGGATTAAGAGGAAATGAAGATGATGGTGTATAAAAGATAGAGTTAGTGATGATAACAATAGGAAACAGAGCATGTAAGTATTAGACTATATGTATATATGTCCACATTCATTGTAATAATTAGCTTGATACTGTAATAACTCAAGTTATATTGTAAAGATATATAATTATCTTTAATGGAATGAAAGTGGAAGGGAATTATTTTCTAATATGGTATCAGCGATAGAGTGTTGGATCATCAAATTTTTCACCAGAAGTTGCACTTAACTTGGATTTGGTATCCACCGATGCTCTCCAATATCTTACATTTACAAGGCCGGACATCTCCTATGCAGTTCAACAGATTTGTCTCTGTATGCATGATCCACGAACATCGCATTATGCTGCCCTTAAATGTATTATACGATACATTCAAGGGACAAAAGAATTCGGCCTACATCTCTCACCTTCGACTGTCACCAACCTGAGTGCTTATAGTGACGCCGATTGGGGCGGCTGTCCTGATACCCGTCGATCTACTTCGGACTACTGTGTATACTTGGGTGACAATCTCATCTCCTGGTCCGCCAAACGACAGACAATATTATCCCGCTCTAGCGCAGAGGCCGAGTATTGCGGTGTTGCCAATGTCGTCGCTGAGTCCTGCTGGCTTTGAAACCTGCTACTCGAACTTCACTGTTCCATTTCAAAAGCAATTGTGGTCTATTGTAACAATGTGAGTGCCATATACATCTCGAGAAATCCCGTGAATCATCAACGTACCAAACACATCGAGATGGATATTCACTTCGTTCGAGAAAAAGTTGCACTTGGTCAAGTTCATGTTCTGCACGTGCCTGCACGATACCAATATGCAGACATCTTTACTAAAGGCTTTCCAAAATCGTTGTTCGATGATTGTATTAGACTATTGTAAACTATATGTATATATGTCCACATTCAGTGTAATAATTAGCTTGATATTGTCCATAATTAAAATGATATTGTAATAATTAGCTTGATACTGTAATAACTCAAGTTATATTGTACTGATATATAATCACCTTCAATGGAATGAAAACCTTCAATGGAATGAAAGAGGGAGGGAATTATTTTCTAATAATAAAGTCAAAAACCATGTTTTATAATATGCACAGAAAGAGCAAATGTGGAAGAAAAACTTCTTTATTATGAAATTTAGCATTTGTTATATGGTGATCGGTCAAATTTTATATACCAATAGATTGAAGAAAACCAAAAATAAAAAAAGCAATTGGCCTAACTAATTCTTAACAAACTAAGTAGATAAAGTAGCCTTAAGGCTATAGACAAATATTAAGCCTATTGTATATTTAACAAATGTGAAAAATTAATGTATTCGGTTAGAAATAAATAATATTAGTTTTTAAAATATTTTTTGAGTGGAGTGTTGTCCAAAAGGTTTTGTGGATTTTTTTTTAAATAACCATATTTTTTAAATTAAAATATTAAATAAACACAAAATTCAAAAAAAAAAAATCAAAGTACATATGTTTATATATTGAGTCGTCAAATGAAATGGCTGATCAAAATCACCTTGACCTGAGTCGCCATTTCATATAGCTTAAGCCTTAAAAATTGAAAACTCTACCCTACACTGAGTCACCATGCCATATGGCGTCTCAGTTGTAGGATCTTTATTTTTTTATATATATAATATTTTGTTAAAAAATATACATAATTAAAAAAAAAATAAAACTTATTTATTTTTAATATTTTGTAAAAATAAAATAAAAATAATTAAAAAAAATAATAAATTATAATATTTATAATATAAATAAGTTTCAATATTGTACAACAAATGAAAAAAGAAAAATCAATGATCGGCTCTATCAAAATTACCACCGGTTTTACATTGGGGAGGATTCGCGCGGCGCCGAGGTCTACCACGAGGTTGTTGAGA